ATTGCTGCAGTTGATAGTGTCGTCCATTGATTATTTAAGTAAAAACAACAAAACTAGTTCTGTCATCGGATTTTCTGAACTAATAAAGATGAGTTATGCCAATCGACACGTAATTCTTATTCCAATGCATAGTTGAAATAGTCAGACCACTGCTTGCATGGGGAACTATTGCCGCAGAGGCGGCAACATATGTGCTATCGGTATGTGACATTTTTCAAGGGCGGCGTACGTGATACCTTTTAGGTGTGGCAGATATTAAAAAAATGAAAGCCCCAAACACATCATAAACCGATTATCTGCAGTGTAGGGCGTATTGACAAATGATATTCTCAATCAATCTCTTACACAGGTGCCTCTATTTCGAGCTGTACTCCTATTTAAAAAAAAGCATTTATACCCATTGTCATCAAATGTGGCTAGGTGGGTGGAAGCTGCTACCTATAGATGATACTATATATCAGAGATCTGAAACACGTGGCCCGAACATTTTTCGCCAGCAGCCCGTAGCTTCACAAGGAATCAAGCTTTTGCGGCTGAACGGTAATCGCGTTATGTCGTCACCTGCATCAAATAATAACGCTTCGTTCTGCTAACCTACAGGGACGCGAACAGTATCAAGCATTTCTCCTTTCAAGCACCCCATGCGGTCACCATGTTCTGACACATAAATGCATGGAAGAAGAATTCCGTATTTCAGAATCTGTGTAAGGATTTTGGTCATTCTGGACATAGGCGTCGATGGGTGACCACGGCCCGCAAGCTGAGGTGAGCTGGAGATCTCTGCTAGGACATTGTCTATGTAATTAGATATTTTATGTGGTCAAAATTTAGGTGCCTGCTTTCACTTCATTGCTGCTAAATGTACTGTTTTTTCTTAGTTTTTACTTCACGGCACTTTATGAGGCTATATGGAGGTTGAAGCGAAACTTACGCAAACAAAAAAAAATCAAAGAATTTTAACCTCACGTCGAAAACTGAGTTCATTCTAAAGTATGAGTGGGACTTCAGTAAAGTTCTTGCTGGTATGGATGCTACTGTTTGTGCCGCGTTAATGCTGTCCCCTAAGCTTGCGTGATGGTGCACCTCGGAGCGAACACTGAGATGCCGCGGTGAAGCCAGCCTAGCTGGCCGGTGCGGGGTTTGCGTATCGTCACCTTCTCCTTGGGCGTCCAGTCGAAGCAGTCCTTGAAGGAGTAGCCCTTGATGCGAGAGCCGATCAGGCGAATAGTGTTCACCAGCAGGGGCTGCTCGACGAACACCGCGTAGTTGCGCGTCATGCCGAAGCTGTGGTAGTAGCTGAACGTCGTCTTCCAGCTCGACGGAATGTGGTACGCCACCGAGGCCCGCTTCAGGCCCGAACAGCCTGCGCGAGGAAAGGCGTCTCCTAAGCACACTCGTGGTTCAAGCAATGCCCATACCGAACGAACCCCGTGGAGGAGCAATTATTTTCAATAGGAATGGCATAACAACTATTGACCGATTTCAAATATATGCGTAAAGGAAACTCGGAGATAACTTGTTGAAAATTGGTGAGTGTGGTGGCACGAAACTGCGTGCGTGGTTGCATGAACACGCTGTAGTTGCTCAAGACGTGCTGGCGTACATTGAATTATATTACGTCACGCAAAGGCAGTGCCACTTAAATGTATACTACTAACGCTGGCTTAATATGTACATTTGTATTGAGCAATATCTTTGACTATCAAGAAACAATACGATATTTCAATACTAACAAAAAAAAAAAACGCCGACCGCGTACAGCAAACAATAGTCACGTGACCGGCCTAATGAGACCGTTAGTTTTTTTGCTGTCAGAGGCGCCAAATGTCATTTTTGGCAACTTCCAATGAATAAATAAAACTATAAACTCACCTGTTATAAAAAAAAAACACATAGCTGGTTAGAATCAACGCGACGGACAATCTTTCCTTCAGTGGAGTAACGTCATTTCATGTTATGGGCGGTTGTCGGTACCTTTTAGGGAATACGATTGCTGTAGAGAGCGACCTCTGTGCTGAATATCACTTCAACGAAACCAGTGGACAGAACAGAGCCCACAGAAAGGTACGAACTGTCTGCTGATCCCTATGAATACAGGATCAGTGGCCATATCCACACTATAAAGGAACTAATTTGGCGCCGAGGAGCCACGGGATCCGATCTCGCGTAGCTCTACAAAACGGCGGCTTAGTGAAATTCTGCCACTGCAGGGTGCGAAGCAACCATGGCGCTTTCCATCGCTTCGACAAAGCCAGCGGTGAGAGCAGAGCCCGTAGAAAGGTGCGAGCTGTCTGCTAATAGCTATCGATACAGGGCGCGCAACCATGGCCAGACGATCGAAATAGGCAGTTGCTGCCGGAGTCGCACAACCCCTCCGGGACCTTGCATGTACCTTTCGCACGACGGATACGGCCGGCACGTCCCCTCTCTGCTTGAGACGCCATCATCGTTGGCTGCCGTTTCATTCGCAAATAGAACATACAACACACGGGGTGGCGTTATCACTTTTCGACTTTATACGGAACCACGTGGCGACGTTCGACGCCGAAGGCGACGTCAAAAACGTTACTTTTGATCAAAAATGCGCCTGTAGACTCAAGATAGCTGCTATATCATTATCCCTGGAGCTCACATTTCTCATCGCACCAGCCATGCGCTACAAGTTTTTTCGCCCACGAGCCCGTACTAAAACATCTTTTGCTTTTTTTTCCCCCAGCGCAGCAAAGGACAGGGATGACCTTCCCCTCGATATTGCCACAATGACCAGCCCATCAAGCTTCACAGCATTTCAAATGTATTTTCACATGAACCATTGTGAAAACACTATCGATTGTATTAACCCACCTCTTAAATATTGTCTTTGCGGGGTTTTTGAAGAAAATAAAAATGAAATGAAATGAAACAAAATCAAATATAACTTCCAATGCCTGTTGCTGATCCCATATGGTCATACGGAATGTTCTCGAGTTTTACGCTCTGGTGTGTGTCTGATTGTGTGTCTGAAATTATTATTATTATTTAAACTCTCTTCCCAACCCTGTGTATTCCCCACCGAAGTGCAGGACAACATACCGTATACTATCACCTAGTTAACCCCCCTGCCTTCCTCTTCTCTCGATCGTTATACATTTAAGAACCCGTATACTCGAAACCCACTGCAAATGCATGCAAGCGTAATATTGTTAGTGCCACTGGGTCAGTGCAGGTATTTAATGAACACGTTGTTCGCACATTGTAAACACTATACTTAGGTGTTAGCGTGCTATTGGCAATTCACTGTATGACACTCGCTTACCCTGACCGGGCGGTGGTATCTTGACGATGTGATACTTGAGGCCGGATATGAAACTGGCACCCAAGTTGTAGCTGGTGCCGTCTTCCATGGTGATGGGGTGCGCGCTAGCCAGGTTCACGGACACCAGTTTGTTCACATCGTACTGCAAATGTTCATAAAAAAGGGGGACACCCTGTAGTGCCAACAGCTTGAGTGACTGCGCCAGGGGCTCTGGTTGTGGGAGGGCACCCCCGCCTTTGATCCCGTTCACCCAGGCTAAAGGGAACAGAAAATGCGGCTCAGCTTTTCTCTTTCAGCAGTTCAGTCTCCTTGTCCTTATGCAAGACAGACCCAAAACCCAGCAATTCTTACACTAACCCCTGCAATAGCCTTATATAGAAGCCTACCACGTGTCAGACGTAAAACACATCACTTCCTTATGTTGAATTATTTCACAACCTTAAATGTCCCCTTTCCAGAACACCCTGTTTTCCTTTTTCATTATTTGTTCGACGTGTTTGTCGAGTCAACAATAAGTACACGTTTTATTTATCTATTGCTGAACCACAGCTGTAATCTTTCTAATGTCGTATTTCATGTGCATGCACTCGCCATGCCACATGCCTATGTTCTGATCCTCGCAGATTTCTTATGCTCATTGGTCGCAATAGGTCCTCCTGTAAGACGCGTGCAATTACTATGTATAACCAATTCGTTTTAAGGTACACAACTGAACTAACCCTTTGAATGGCTTCCAAGGAGTCCTGGTCGACTTTCCACACGAAGCACGTTTCGGACGTGCAGAAAAGTTCATCGCCGAGGGTGTACACGTTGCCAAAGTTGTTGTCTGTCAAGTCGCTGGGCACCAGGGCCGCGAAAAACCTGCAAATAAACATGACCGACGGGGTCGTGACTGACTTTGACTAGTAAGCTTAAAAAACAAAACAAAAAAACAAATGGTCATCCAATACAATGTAATAATACATTGTATAAAGTTTTCGAGGATGCCTTGCAGCTACATCATTGATTCAACAAATGAGAGAAACAAATATTTTTCTAATGTTGCCGTAATTCACAACAAAATAAGAAGAAAAAAATCTCAGATGGTCTTTTATACATTTCCCTTGGACGACTTGAAGCACGAAGTCATTATCTTCATTTTCTTCTCAGTCGATGTAAAGGTCCTCTTTCACGACCCTCTGGAAGTTCCCCGCACCTGATGGCTGTCACGCCTAAGAGAAACATAATGCGTTACGCTCGTGCTGGAAATGTCAGCTCCACTCCGTGTTGTCTTATTTCTGTGTCCCGTGTGCTTCGCGGTTACTTTTATTGCGATATCAATTATGCGGACAGTTTCGACGGCTTTCACCGCCGTATGTTCTGTATAATATACAAATCTAACATACAAATCAGCTACAAAATGACGTGATGACCAATTTGTCGAACGTTTCGGAATGATTTGCCAATAATCAGCTCGCTGTTAAGTGTACTAACACAAAATACGTAGTGTTTCACTGTCGCAAGAACATATTGATATGGAATATTTTAACCTAACAATAAGAAACGCTCCTATTTTACAAATTCCTTCTTTTAAATATTTGGGCATCATTTTTAGGATAATTTACTCCTGGAATGAACAAGTACAAAGTGTGTGCGCAAAGGTAGCCTGTGACTGCTATACTCAAATAAAAGCTCGTCGATATCTTCCACAAGCCGTACTTCGTACACTCTACTTTTTACTGTGTCACTGTCATATGACCGACTCCTTAGAATTGTGGGGTGTTACGGACAATAGTTATATAAAAGCTCTTGAACGAATTCAAAAGCGTACATTAAAAATCATTAGCCAAGGTGAACCAGCAGGTAAAATTTTCCCCTCGCAACGAATTCTGCCGGCTTCGATGTTTCGCGACTACAAATTGTTGTTTCAATAAATAACATAATTACCAGAAAATAACCTTTGCCTGCTGATGTTTTCTCGATCCCTACATGCATTGCGTGACATGCTTTTAGTGACCATTTCAATTTGCTCAAATGTTACAATAACTATAGAGAAAGACTGATCGAATTTAATGGAACAAAGCCATGGAACGTGATTCTCCTTGAAAATAAAACAGCACGTAATTTCGGCCTAGCATTTTAGTATTCATTTTTTTTTTGTCGAGACAACATATGTAAGCCTGTGTGTATGTCTGTTTGATTTGATTTTCATTGTGTTCTTTTTTTTTCTAATGAGTGCCTGCTACAGTAAGCAAGTTGCAATCTAATAAGTTCGAATGTTTGCAGGAGAAAATGTATGCGTGCATTGCCTGCATTTATATAATTCGTTTATGTTTTTTTTCCTTCAAAGCTAACCTATAGATTCTCTATGCACATTGTATGGGACCAGTCACAGCCACTTGAGACAATCAGTCCAAATATTCTTTGCATTTTTATTCTTCTCCTAAAAAAATGAAGTTCTCTTAATGTAGATTGATTGAAATCCATAACATCCACAACATAACATCATGTGTTCTACCCTCGGGTAAAAACGTGCGAGCACAGATGACGCCTGCAGCGGAAGCAGAGATGATGGGCCCATCACCACCACTCGGAGGGTGCGTGTGATAAAGTAGCTGTCAATTGCTACTCATGTTAAAAAGACACCCCCCCCCCCCCCCCCCCCGCTTTCCTAAGTCTTAAAGAAACATGTAGGAACACGGGGAGAGGGGAACCGGGTGTGTCGCTCAAGCAGTAACTGTGAACTCTGTGTTTATAACAGCGTGGCCGCGATCGCTGGTGCACGTGCCACCTCGGCTGGCATCAGCAGACGATTCGTATACTTTTCCACGTGCTGTGCTCTGAACGTGAAGAGAATAACAGAAGTGTTGCCCCTCCTAAAGCAGCCATACCCCCGTATTCTAGAACGTCCCTTCACTCAACGCTCCACCTTCACTTGGGAAAGCCAATGGGAGCACCGTCTCTGGTCACGAAATGTCACTGCATATTAGCGATAATCTGCTGTCATTTTTGAGTAGTGCTGCGCCATTTCCAACCGAGTGGCGGTGCAGTGCTCAACTCTGTCAAGTGAAGGGGGAAAGTTGAGTCGAGGAGCGTTTGTGAATACGGCGGATAATCTCTTACACCAGCATTTTGTAGAGTTACGCGAGATCGGATCCGAAAGAGTTAGGTGCCAGCCTTACTTCGCACAACATTCCAATTTGTTACTGTCGCATTTATTGTGTCGCCCTTGTGTCGTAACTGTGCTTTATTCCTAATCATGAATCACTGGCCTACACCCGAACTCTTCTATAAGCAACACGTCAACTTGGGGCATCGCCAGTCAGCCTTTCTGAGGCTTTTATTCTTGTTCTGACAACCTCCTTAGCACGTCCTCTACCCCGGACAATCGCAGGCTAAGTGCGAAGGTTTGTGCATTGCTTCGCTGCAGCCTTCTCGATCGGTCAGGCTCACACACACTGGAGTGATCGTTCGGGTAAAACACAACTCACCTCGAGAAGATGCTCTTGCACGGATCTGGATAACATTTGGTGCCGAATTCGGTGACAACAGGACGATTGACGGTGCTCATTTTCTTGTACGCCTCGGTCTCCACGTACCGTGAGCTGTAGTAAACCTGCGTGGCGTCAAAGCTTATCAATTCGCCTGCAAACATCTGATGTTCGCCACCTATATTGCTTTGTGCTTAGTAATAAAAGGAAGATAAAGTGTTTTACTTCGTCAGATTTATCAATGTGACCTGTGTCTTGCAAAAGTGCAGAGTGACTGAAAGAAAGCAAGGTACTGGGAAGTATAATCTGTTGCGAATCTTCAGGTGAATTTTATATTTCACTCACTGACACTTTGTGACAAAATCACCCTAGTAACCACTGGCAACAATACGCTGAATTGGTAATTGTCAAACGGTGTCCTGTTCCTCAGGCTTAAAGTGCATGCAGTCACATTACAGTTAAATACTTACGTCATTAGAAAGGAGCTTAGGTTATCCACATATTGAAGAAATCCACGATGTGAAAAACCGGTCACACAATCTTAATGGCACTTCAACTCACCGAACTTCCTGGAGCTGAAGTACCAAAAGCCGACCGCTTGTGCATAACTAAGTGGCAAAACCAAATTTATGTGTTTTTTAGCCATAGGGACACACTGATTTTGTTTCGAGACTAAGATAACTCGGGAAAAATAAATAAAACTTGGCATTTTGATTGTGGTGAGTTTGAATGACGGAACAAAAATAACAGTCGGAGCTGGTTGATATGATTTTGCACAAATACTTTTTTTTACCTAATACGTTTTTCCTTTTATTCCCGGCCGACGTTCCGCAAAAATGATGCGTTTTAATGCGGTTATTACGATTACGTTTCTGCCCGGGATAAGTTTATTATTTAATATACTATAGCTCACAGAGCGTTCTTAAATTTTCGTGATGTGCCAGTTCCAGAGCCGCTGAGGCTGCAGCATCGTCTGTGTCGGGTCGAAAGGATCTCTATCAGGCGCGGAAATTGAGCCCAATTATATAAAGAAGAAAATTAAGCACGAATGAACCAGATGTCTCAATGCTAAACAATAAAAGTGACCTGCTAACATAACATCCATATATCCCCCCCCCTTTGTTAGACATATTTTTTGTTAATAGTATTTTCATATAATACGTTTTATTTGCCGGTCACCATGAAAAAAAATCATAAAGGAGATTTCACTGTACTTGCGTTTGATGACGGGAAGCAACTATACAGTGAAATGGTCCTTACATTAACGTACAGTGCATTATAATTTAAGGAGGCAAAGCGTCATTCTCGAAAGTATCAGCCTCGTGCTGCTTTAGCGCTTGAAAGCTTCTTCCATCATGTTACGATGGGCAACTGATAAATATTGCAGGCGAAACTATATGCAATACGATTTGATAGCTTGAACGACTCGACTGAGGTTGAGTTTGTTAGTGGTCAAGTTAAAGGACACTGGGATCGATTGCGCTGAGTGGACCGCGTTCTATGGTAGCGAAATGCAAGAACATGTGTGCTTAAATTTAGTTGCGCTACTAAAAGAAGGTGAGTGCTCTCTGCCATGCAAGTCTATTTTATAAATAGACGGCTCTGAGCGAGTTTGAAGCTCAAATACTGATAAAATATTTTATTTTGGTAATAAACTCAGTTTTCCCGTGACGCTTCTACTCACGTCGATGCTAGCTAGACGTCACGCCACAGTACTAATTCTAGTGGTTTCACGCCAGAGTCTGGCTTGTTGTGATGACATCAGGTACCAAAACTTCCAAAGTAGCCACCCGTGCGTCACCAACGAAGCCATGGTACGAAGCGGCCATGGAAATGTCACGATATCTTGCGGGTACAAGTGAGGATAAGCTCATAACTATGTTGTGACGTCAGGGTAAATTGAAACGAGCTTTTAAAAATCTATTATAGTTAGGTTTTCAGGGTGCACTCACGTTTAGCAATGCATTTTCTTGGTTCTCGGTGGTTCGATCTTTCATACGACAAAGAAAAAATGACAAAACTTTTCGCGCGGAAATATTTAGAGCCCCCAACAACAGCATACCTCTTAAAGGGACACTAAAGTCAAATAACAATTTAGGTCAGAGAGAAAGCTGAATGTATGACAACAAATAAAACGACAATAATATATACAGCAGTGCCCTACTTACCGATAAACTAAGATAAATGCACAAGAACACGATTGATATGAGGTCTTTAACGTTCCCGAACCACCAAATGATTATGAGAGACGCAGTAGTGGAGGGCTCCGGGAATGCACAAGAATGCATGCACCGCAGTAGAACATCCTCAAATTGATACCAATGACGTCACACGGACCGCCTACAGTTAATCACTAGTAATCAATATAGCTGCACTAAATAAAGAACCTTCTGTGCACCAAGAGACGCAATAACATTATGCTGGTTCGTTTCTCTTTGATTCGTGAAAAAAAAAAGAACCACCGGACGTTACCAGTGGGAATGGCGCGAGTAGTTAAAAATTCAATTTTCGCTTGGTTACACTGGGCAGGCCATGTCATCTAGCGGGGCGCAGTAGAACAAAAACACGTTTGCCATCTCGGAGCCAATGACAGGAAATTGATCAATGGCCGTTGTTGCTGCTGTACATTCCGCTGCTTTCGTTGTGTGTATACCAGTGCCGGTAACCACGCAGTAAATCCGGGCAACGTTGTGCATGGCGAAAGTGACGTGAGTAGGTCCGCTTCTTGAGGCGGGTAATTTCACATGCGCTAACGCGATGCGGGTCACTAATACGTGATTTTATTTTTTTAAAATAAGCCATTCCTTGGCACAAAACTTTACGAGGTTTCTCGACCACTATTTGAACAATCAACGCCGATTTCATAGTTGCCTTTAATGTCCCTATAATCACATCGTGGTTTTGGCACTCAAAGAACAACTTAAGTTGCAGCGTGCGCGTGACCCTCTGACAAAAGAAGGAAAAAAAGAAAAACGCGCATGTCGCTTTCGTTGTAGGCCTACGCTTGTCCGCGTTTCATGTTCCCGTAGAAACGAAGTTGTTTGTGCTGAACGAAGTAATTTGAAACAGACCTCTAGGAGAGGCGTTATTCCTGCAGTTTACATAAGATACGATGATGATGACGAGGTTGATGATGCAATACAATCGCGCATTACTACTGAATTTGACACGTAATACCCACTATAGTTGTGTTTAATTTGAACACGCATTTCAAGCGGTACGTAGCGATTTGCAACCGATTTGATGGAGTAGGAAAGCTAATGTGTCTGATCGTCTAGAAGGCGGCCGCTCATACCTTTCCCTTGTGTATCTCGTAGGATGAGAGGATGGCTGCGCCGTCGAACCAGTGCTGCAAGGAGAAGCCACCTTCCAGCTCCCACATTCCTGGGCCGAGCCGGAACAGCTTGCCGCTCACCCACTCGGGCATTGTGCCTGCACAGTGGAAGAACAAAGATGGAACCGCCACACAATGCCCGTTCATGACTAGAGTCGTTGTTTGGCCATGGTCTCTGAGAATGGCGGGCGCGCGCCTGCCTTCCCGGAGGTGATGGTTTGGCTCTGGTGGTTTGGCACGATCCAGGTAGAGAGCACCACAAGACGAGGGCAGAGGCCAGGCATGTGTGTCAAGACTCTTTGTCCCCGCATTTTGAGCTCTCGCCACGTATTATCCTCCTGTTCATGATGCACTGCATTCGTAAAACGGCCTATCAAGATGAGGGTAAGTATTGCCGTTTTTGGACATGTTGGTAAACAGAACTCGAAAAGAGCGAAATCCGACTCCTGCAATATCCCTTCTACAGGTATGCATTGTGTAAAGTAAATAGCACATGGCGTTGTAGCCTCTCTTACGTCCCTGTGAGTTGGCGCTCAGTACAGAGTTTGACAATTGGGGGCCCAAGACACTGGGTCCCGACGCTGCGTTGCGTAGGTTGCTCTGGCGTTCGGGGGATCAGCAGAGTTTGAGAATTGGGTCAAACGCAGACTGCGTTGGATCAAACGCATGGACACCACCCGTTGCAAAATGAAAAATTATGCGAGGTATGGGTCATACGGCACCATGGCTCGCGTTGCGTCTGCTTCGTCTCGCTGGCGACCCGTAACACCTTGGGGGCCCACGCTAGCTCTCGATTTTCGGGCATTGGGTCAACACGAACGCAAGAGCCCAAGATTGGCTTAGGTTCTGCGCATGCGCCCTGGCGCGTCACAGGCTTCTTGAGTCCCTAAGGTCCTAGGGGCCCCGATTCTCAAACTCTCTCATGTGTTTTCGAGGGTAGGCGCTTATTAGGATTTCAGTGAGTGATAACGCTGTTCAGCACATGTCCAGTGCGTATTTATGTCTTTTATAGAGTTTCTCAATATACACTAGAGGGAACTCTGGCGCTAGTGTCTATGGGAGCTGCAACACACGGCGCTTCAGCGAGCATGGGAATGATGGTTAGTACACACATTTGTCTAATTTTCGCACTTCTGCCCTGCTTTCGGCTCCGTGTGTGTTCGTGTGGCTTGAAGCTGTTTTTTCATGAAAACATAAATTAGCAAATGTTCACCGTTAGCGCTTCACAACCTTATTCTTTTAGGCCTACCATTTTGAATCAAGTCACTAAGTTTAAAAGGGTTCGTTTTTTCTTTCAAAAAAAAAACCGAAATACAGCAATAAACGAAGCCGCAAGTACGATTTGCCGCCCGCAAGTACGAAGACTAGCCATCATTCCCATGGTCGCTGAACGATCGCAGCACCAGAGTGCCCTCTAGTTAATTTTGGGAAACTCTATGATGTCATTGTCCAGTTTGCCTGTCCGTTTCGGTGGAACAGTCACTACGGTTCTCGGCTGCTGACCCGAAGGTCACGCGTTCGATCCCTGCTGTGGTTGTCTCATTTCGATGGAGGCGAAACGGTAAGAGGCTCAAGTACTGTGCGATGTCAGCGCATGTTTACGAACACTAGATGATCAATATTTCTGGAGCTCTCAACAACGGCGTGGCTCGTAATCACACAGTAGTTTTGGGACGTAAAACCCGGCAATTATTGGATGTCACTCAATATTTCCTACTAATGTTTATTACTTAGGCTAAAGCCTTCAGGAAATGAAACGCCGTTGCTCATTCTTTTGACCTCGGTTATTTTTAGTGACTGTCGTGAGGTAATAAAAAAAACGCAGATCACATCATTCGTACTCGCATACCTCGTGATAACCTTTGTGCAAGCATATCTTTGTCTGGCAAAAAAAAAAGAAGAAAGTATAAAGAAGCCTCGAATTTTCACTTAAATTTTGAAATGGGGTGAAACCTGTTTTAGTCTGCGAAGTATGAGCAGTAGTACCGGATGATGTGTGCCTGATTTCGTCAAGTGTAAAAGTTTTTTCTGTTGCTGAGGCAAACGCACGAAGCCAATTTGTGACGCTCATGGAAGAAAGAATGAGAATCAGTAGTCGATGTGCCACACGTATCTAACTACAGTTAACGAAGTCGAACACGGATATATTCCACATGTTAATTGATAAAAAAAGGTTATATTTATGGGTAATTTGATACGCATAAAAATTGTTGCCTTTTCCCTATGGGGAAAGCGTGGGCAAGCAAGGCTTGGTGCATGTCCGCTTCACGGACACGTTTATTTCTTTTTATTTATTTATTTATCTATTTATTCCTTCCTTCCTTTCCTTCTTTATTTCTCTTTTCTTTTATCTTTCTTTTTCTTCATTTATTCGTTTGTATTTTCTTCTTATTCGTTTGTCTTTATTTATGACGAATCGCAAACTGCTTCGTCTGACGCTTGCTTGTTTGCTCACTCACTCACTCGCTCACTCACTCACTCACTCACTCACTCACTCACTCACTCACTCACTAACTCACTCACTCACTCACTGGTCCTCGCAACGCTTCGCCTGCAAGGACGGTTCCTCTGGGTCACATTTAAGCGCAAAGAGAAAGCAAAAAAAAAAAATGTACAGGTGTGTTAAGCGGACTAAAATAAAAAAAAAACGCTGCAGCTTGAACGTTGATCCGCGTGAAAAAGCACTGGCTTAACGACATTTACGAAAACGATCGTATCGCAGGTGTCCCAGACAAGCGGTGAGAGAGGAGGATCGAGAAAGGTGTCCTGAGGTTCCCCCTCTCAAGCGGCGCGGCGACCGGTTGGCGTCCGACGCTGGACCCGGGAAGGAGACCTCAAAATAGCAGCCGCAAAAGGAAAGCGCGCGAAAGCGGAAGGAGGGCGGCCAATGGGAGCGCCACGCGGTCGCCGAAACGGTGCGGGTCTGCTACCGTAATCCAGCGGCATATTTGTTGGAAAGCTCCGCCACACGCCATCTGGTTCATGGGTGAAGGACAGGTGACGGCGCGCAAAGAATGAGCGATTGGCTCAGCTTTCGTTTCTTTTTATTGACGCCCGATAGTTGATGCTTGTGTACATTGGTGATGTTGAGCAGTTTTTTTTTTTTTACAGCGCGCAATAAGCAAAGAGAAACGGACCTGAACATTGAAACGCTCTAATTTTTTACACGTTCGTTACAACAAAGGTGATAGGCAGTATGTGTGCGCACGAGAAAAGCAAGAGTAAGGTAAAAGTGATAGTCTAAAAATGTGCGTTTTACAACAACGTACAAACCAGTGTTGTAGTATACTTGATGTCGTCCGTGCGATTATTTGCACTACTCTACTGAGTTACTAACCCTCATAGTAAAGTATGAAAATTTCTGCTATACGGCATGACGGAATATTCAAGCCCGACGCTGCACACTGTTAAATACTCGACACAGGGTGAGTGCAGATGTTTGCAGTGCGCTGGGTACTGGTTAGGTGTAGCTTTTGCAGGATCGAACACCGTCTCTTGCGGTACAACCTGCAAAATCCTTCATTCCAGTGCACCCCACAGCCGCAATGAGACGAAGCACAGTTTTTACGCAATCTAATTGCACGTGGAGCGGCGATCATATACAGTACTGACTGTTGGGCGAGCTGGGGCTGATTCATGGGCATTTTTGTGCAACACACGCACGGTACAAAAAGAAAAAGACACAAGAGGCGCAGACTTACAAGTGTTTTATTTGAAACAACAAAATGCACTTTTATCTTCTAGGAATACAGACGCCCCTCTAAAGTGGACCCGAATACCCACGAGATAAAGCTAAGTGCTCAACAATCCTCCATGATCAAAATAACAAAAGAGATGAAAAAAACAACAACAAACTAGTCGATACTGACTTCGCACATCTGCAGCATGTTTACAACACATTTATTTTTTATTTTATTTTTATTTATACAATAGTGCAGACCTAGGGCGGCCCAAGCAGGAGTGGTTTGTTTGTATATCAATGATGAAAACCAGATTTAAACAAAAAAAAAAAAGAAATACAAATTGAGAGCAAGAAGAAATAAGCAATGAACAATCAAAGAAAACACCAGAGAACAGGAGAGGACTAATCAGTGCATATTTCAGGCATATGGCTCATAAGAAGGTAAAAACCAAAACTGCAAAAAAAAAAAAAAAAAACGAAGCAAGGCAGCAATGATCATAACAGTAGCGTAGCACAGATTTTACACAACTAGATATGGGAAACCAATCACAGAATAAAGGCACCGTTACAAATTTATTCTGCGAACTGGTTAAACAACTGAAGAACATTATTTGATAAGAAAGTTTCAGATGGTAAGGCATTCCAATCACTTATGGTGCGCGGGAAAAAGGAATGTTTGAATATGTTTGTGCGTGCAAAAATCGAGTTAAATTTAAAAGGGTGAAAGTTCCTGGTGGGTCTATGGGGCAAAAGGTTTAGATAAGGAGCGGGGTCGAGTGCAAGTTTACGGTTCCAAAGCTGATAAAGAAATTTTAGTCTTGTTATTTTACGGCGTCTTTGTAAGGTCATGATGTTGTTTGTTTGCATTAAAGAGGTAGGCGAGTCATGTCGGTGGTAACGATTATATATGAACTGTACAGCCAGCCTCTGAATATGTTCAAGTTTTTTAATGTCTTTTTTAGTGAACGGGTCCCAAACGATACACGCGTATTCAAGACGAGGCCTGATTAGCGTGTTATATGCAAGAAGTTTAACATGGGAGAGGGATTTTTTTTAGTTTGTGACGTAAGAGGCCGAGCTTACGCCGAGTTGATGCACAGATTTTGTCGATATGCATTGACCAGGTTAGATTATTTGTAAATGTTAAGCCGAGATATTTAAAGCTATTGGTTTGAGAAATTTCGACTCCCTTTACAGAGTAATTGAACATAAGAGGACATTTTTTATTAGTTATGCGCATGTACACCGTTTTAGTTTGGTTAAGCTTCATTCCCCAAGTGTCGCACCAATTAGATATTAAATTCAGGCTGTCGTTGAGGGTAATTTGGTCATTAGTTGATTCAACAGCTCTGTACAGAAGACAGTCGTCCGCAAATAAACGAATAGCAACGCTTTCGTGCACACAAGAGGTTATGT